TCAAAGACAATGGAATGGCATCTTTAAACTGCTAAAAGAAAAATTATATTTATATTAAATATATTAATATTTATATATTTTAAATTTTAAACCCAATGAATCCTAGAATTTTATACCTAATGACAATATATTTCAAAACATAAGGTAAGGCAAAATTAAAAGCAAAAATAAAACAAGACAAGGTAATGATGTTTTCAGACAAATGAAAACAGAAACATAATTCATTAGCAGCAAACTCATACTACAAAAGTATTGAAGGAAGTTCAAGTGGGAGAAAATGATTCAAGATAGAAGCATGAAATGTATGCAAGAATTAAGCACAAAGAATTGGAAAATATGTGGTTAAAACAAAACAATATTGGATTTGGGCCAGGGATTTAGCATAGTGGCACTCTGCCTGCTTTCCAAGCACAAGGTCCTGAGTTCAATCACCAGTACCAAAAAAAAGAAAAAGAAAAAGAAAAAAAATATTGAATTCTTAAAGTCACAATACTAATAAATTGTGTAAGTAACATATATTAGAATAATAGCATAAGATAATTGAAATTAAACCATTTAGAAAGCCTAAAACTAAGGATGGAGCATATATTGATAAAACCCTTCCATCAAACTAACCTCCAACCTGAGCACAAGATAATGCCAAAGGAATCTGAATCTGGATATGCACGGAAGGTAAGCCTAGCAAGAGCAAACCACATTGTACTGACTTAACCCCACTGTATCCCTTTCTGGATATAAGTACTATGCTACACACAGTACCCAGCTTTCAAATGCAAATTCTAAATTATATAAAAAAGAAAAAGGGAAAAAGTTGGAGTAGAGGGAAGAAGGAAGAAAGGAAAGGAAGGAAGAAAGGATAATGGGGGTGGATATGATTAAAGCATGTTATATGCATATATGAAAATGTCACAATGAAACTCAATATGGTACATTGTATGAAAGGTAAAAGTATAACAACAATACAAAAGATGGAGGTCGGAATTGGAAGTATACTATTGCAAGGTGCTTAAACTACAGTTACGTGTGGCTTGACAATGATTGAGTCAACAACAGACTGCATATATGATAGCAGTCCTGTGAGATAATATCTAAGGATGTCAGTCATCTTAGTAAGTGCACCCTCATGTTCATTCAACACCAGAATTGGCTAATGATGCATTTCTCAGAATGTATCCTATAATTAAAGTGGTACATGGTTGTATAAGTCAGGAGGGTAAGCTATGATTAATTAAAATATATGTTATAAATTTTAAGGCAAGGGTTATCAAACTTTGGCTATTGAACCAAATCCAGCCCAATTTTTATAAGAAAAATTTTATTGACACACAACCACACCCACTCATCTGTGAATGTACAGTGCATATCATCTATGGATGCTTTTATGCCACATAACTAGAGCTGAGTCTTTGCAACAGGGACTATATGGCCCTCAAAGCTAGAACATTTCTTATCTATTATAGGAAAAGCTTGTCAACACCTGTTCTAGGGAGACCACCTAATAAATCTTATGGAGGCATGAGTGCAAAGAAAAAAAAGTTAACCCAAAAGTAGATTTTTTAAAAAGAAGAGGAAATAAACAAAGAACTGATTGAATAAATAGAAAAAAATCACATTAAAATAAATGATATAACCATATCAGTTACAACACAGAGATTGTCATAATACATGAAGAAGAAAAAAGAACAAACTATGTGTTGTCTTCTAAGACCTACATTAAATATAAAGATATAAATACATTAAAAACAGAAAGATGAAAAATATGTACTACACAAACTTTAAAAGAAAGCTGGAAAGTGACTATATTAATATCAGAAAAAGAAAACTTCAAAACAAAGAATATAACCAAGAATAAACAGGGATATTAGCTGAAGATAAAAGGCCAGTTTAGTCTCATAAACATGCACACGCATACACCCACACTCCTAAATGCATATCCCCTAACAGTTGAGCTTCAAAATATATGAAGTAAAAACTTATAAAACTAAAATGAGAAATACAGAAATCTGCAATTATACCTAAAGACTGACATTCCTTTCTAAGTAATCTGTAGAACATACAGAAAACCAATAAGGATATAAAAACCTTGACAACACTGCTAAAACTTTGACATAAGTGACATTAGTAAAGCACTTCTGTCAACATTAACAGAATACACATTCTTTTCAAGTGCACATAAAACATTTATCTGGGTAGACCATAATCTGAGCCATAAAACAAGCCTTCACAAAAGAAATCATACAGAGTATATTTTTGACCATAGAAGAATTAAATGATACAAAAATAATAGAAATCTGGAAATCCCCAAATAGTTGTATATAAAACAACAGATTTCTCAATAACAAATTGCTGGAAGCAGAAGTAAAAATTTAGAAAATATGCAGAATTTAAAGAAAATGAAAATACTCCTACATCGTAATACGTGGGATAAAACTTACAGCACTAAATGTTCATATTAGAAAAGAAAAAATACTTAATATTCAAGCCTCTATCTTTTGAAACTATGAAAATAAAAGCAAATTTAACCTTAGTTACCTTTCTCATTGCTGGGGCAGAATACCCAATACTCACAAGTTAAAGGAGGAAGGGTTTATTTCAGCTCATAGTTTGTAGAGGTTTCAGTCCATAATCAGCTGGGTCCCAGCCAGGGTGGCATGGCAGAGGGGCATCGTAGAGTAGAAACAGTCCTTGGTGGGGTAGGCAGGAGGCAGTGAGGCAGCAAGCACCAGCAATCCTGCCTTCTTTCTGTCCCTTTTACTCCATCCAGGCTACCAGCCTTTTGGTGGTGCCACCCACACCTAGGGTGGGGCTTCTGTCTGCAATGAATCTATTCAGCCATACCCAGAACTATGCTAATTCCAATCAGTAGACTAATTCAGTAACACACACCCTAGAAATCCAGCAAGCTCTGGAAAGCCCCACCTATGAGCACATGAGGCTTTCAGGGGACATCTAGATACAAGCCATAACAAAATCCAAAGAAAAAAGAAATGAAGAGCAGCAAACAATGCATTCGAAAACAGAAAATAATACCAAAAAAATGGTGAAACTAAAAGATCATTCTGTTAAAAGATAATAAAGTGAACAAACCAAGGGGGGGAAAAGATGCTAATTTCAAATCAAAAATGAAAGAAGGGTCATCACTCTAGATCGTACAAACCTTTACTTATTTGTTGTTTTTCTTCTTTCCTCTCTTCCTTCCATTTTATTTTTTTATTTTATATTTCATTTTTAAATTTCATTTCAACAAGGTCTCATTGAATCACCCAGGCTGGGCTCTAACTTTCAATTCTCTTGCCTCAGCCTGCTGAGTAGCTGGGATTACAGGTGTGTACCACCACATCCAGCTCTTTTTTCTTTCTTTCGAACATCATTTTGCTCTTAGTCATTTTGGCAACAAGCCTTCACCCTGCATGATTGTGTAGAATTACAGACGTTCAGTAACATTTCTAATTTCCTTTTAATTATTGCAATGTGGTAGTTTAGAAAGAACAGAGATTCCTTCATGGCACCTCAAGAAAAAAAGTTTTGGGCAAAGCATGATGTGAACTGGAAATGGAAAGCTATCAGGTGTGGAGGAAGTTTAAGAGATAATCTCTCATCTTCAATGAGCTGAAGGATTTCTATTACGGAACCTTACCTTCTCTTTACACATGTGCTCTGACTGCCGTTCTACCAGCTGACCCTTCTGCTTATTTATCATTTCTGTCTATTTTGACTATAACTTCTGCCTACCAGTGTTCTCCAGCTCTACCTCCTGGTATTCTTTTAGGTTCTCCTCTGTCTGGCTCCTTATTTTCAACTTTAGGTCCCAAAACAGGACTGCTTGATCTAGCTCATCTTTTCTCACAAGTTTATTTCACAGGTGTGTGGAAACATAATGATTGTCTGCTCTTGTGTCAGGCACACATTCTTATCCAAATATAAGTGGCTTAATCATTAGTCCAAAACTTGGCCCTTTGGGGAGCAATATCTATGGATGAGGAAGTTTTCTCTTTCAAGGAGATATCCACATAATGAGCATTTAGGGTTTGGCTATTCCAGTAGATACTGTCTCATCCATATTTGAATACATTATCTTGTATAAAAATGTGTCTTTTATAGATTGGTATTTTGGAATACATATATTTTGGCAATGTCAATTTTATAGTATTTCTCAGCTTACTATCATTCTCATATAGAAATAATCTAAAGAACCCTCAGTTGAAGTATAAACACTGCAGTCTTCCATCCATGGTCTAGGTAATCTGCAGGGAGCAGGCTAAAGGTATTGATCTTCTAAATCTCAGATCTTAGCTTGCCTATTCACTTCCAGATTCTTCATCAACTTAATGTATTTTTAAATGCACTCAGTTCAGGTCCTTGGCCTCTAGAGACAGCCCTCTCTTGGGAATGTTTTAAAGTCCATTTCACAAAGAAGAAGAGTTGCACCACTTCTGTTTCTAGGATAGTACAAGTTACCCTGTCTTTCCTCAAGGAGTCCCATCAGCTTGTGGGAGTGTAATTTAGTTGAAATTCCCGGTCCATGGAGGAATCTCTTTACAACAAGGAGTAATACCCAAGTCATTTTTGCCCATACATCACAGCACTTGACTTTCCTTTAAGCTTTGGATTTTACGGCTTATCTTATTTTATGAGTTATAGTGAAAATCCTGGCCAGTTCCTGAGGATATGACCATAATCCCCTAAACTGTCCTCACCTATAACAGAGTCCTTTTAGCTCTCTATAATCTCCAACCAGGCTCAGATGTGCCATTCCTTTCTTTGTAATCAGAGGAATCTGGAAGTAGAAACTTTGGTGTACTAAAGTGGGGAGATGAGTAGAGGAGGGTGAAAAACAGACAAAAGGACAAATATGAAGGGAATCAGAAATTTCCTTCATGATGCTATCATTTGGATTTCTAAAGAAAATGAAGGATGTTCAGCAATGAGAAGTCAGTCATGATTCTTAGAGGATAGTTGTTTTCTTTAGCATTTAAAAATGTTCTGTTTTAATTTTTAAGATGATTATAGATCTTGGGACATTCAAAAAAATGAACTTCATAAACCAGAACAAACTTACCAACCCTCACCTGTGAAATTTGGAAACTCAACTACATTTCAGGATGACTATGTTCCTCGGGAGACAAAGCCCAGGGAAAGCTTTAAACCTTCTTCTGTGGTCAGACGTTCAACAGCCCCTTTTAATGGTGACACAAGTCATCGCCTGGACTATATACCTCATCAGCTAGAAGTCAAGTTTGTAAGGCCAAAACAAGTTTACAAGCCAACTGACCTGCCTTTTGAAAAACTCACCACTCACAGGAATGACTTTCAGGGTCTTGTTGGTGAAACTGCAAAACTCTGCAGACCAGCCTACACCAGAGTAGCCCACGATGCTCACTTTGAAGGAAGCACTGAATTCCGTGAAAGTTTCCAAGCATGGGAAATCCCACCACCTAAAGTCAAGAAAGTACCAGAGTACGTGCCCCCTATAGGGAGCATGCAGTTACACAGCACAAGCCATCTCGACTACATTCCTTATCAGGCCAGCCGTGTTGTTCCCATCAGGCCAGTTTCTCACAGAAGAAATAATTTTCCTTTCCAAGGAAAAACCACCATGAAGGAGGATTTTCCAGCATGGGAAAGTTGTCGTCCAGGACTTATTAAGCAAGAGCAGCAGATTCCCAACCCATCTGGAAAATTTGACGGTTTGAGCACTTCCAGATCGCACTATGTGCCACATGAACTGATTCCAACTGAGAGTTGCAGACCTTTAAATGCTGCATTGAAGAGTTCTGTTCCATTTGATGATGTCACCATGTACTCCATAGAGTATGCTCCGAAGAAACAGGAAATCTGCCCAGCTAGCTATCCCACTCCTCCAGGTTATATATTTGAAAATACAGATTTCCACGGTCATAAATTCTTCCACAAGATCACTCCTGCAGTGAAGGCTTTCTAATCATCAAATCATGTTTGAAAGGACGCTAACTAACAAGGCATTGGTTTTCCAAAGGAAACCTCAAATTTAATAGTGAAAAAAATTATGAGAGATATGTTTAGCTTTTTAAACTAAATTGGAAAATGTATTATAGGAGATCAGAACTTAAAATCGATTTTGTACTGCTATTTTAATCAAGATTGCTTTTAATATGTAGTTTTGGAAGTTGTATATTCCCATCTGAACTATTTTAATACTTAACATACTGTTTGATAGTGTGCCCTTAATCTAGCACCATTTATACTTCTGTTTATAATTATGGCAACTGTATGCTTATTCACATACCAGTTGTCATTAATCAAGCATGTTGGGACTATCTAGAGTAACACTGAAAATGACGCATGGATTCTTCTTCCAAGGCAATAGGGCTTTGTTTTCCCCTGGCCTGAAGTTACCAGTAGTGGTGGTGCTAGAGACTGCTGCTCCTCACCATGTTCCTGTTAGTGAGAGGTACTGCACTGTGCCAAGGAGAAGCTCTGGGCTGGGAACCAGAGGACAGAGTTCTGGTTCTAGTACCATCTGTTTCTGTTTGTGCCATCTCCCACAAGTGATTCCCATCTCTGAGCCTCTAGGTCTTCACGTGTAAAAGGAGCCTCTTCCACGTACCTCGCACAAAGTTTGTTTTGAGTTTCAAATCATGTAACATACTTTAATCAATAAAACTACAAATATAAGAGATTGTTAATAATAAATAACTCAATTGATTTTTGTGCCTTATTTGCCATTTTGATTTAGAGTAATTATTTAGGAAGTCTGACAGCTCTGAAGAAGTCTTCAGGGTAAATTTCTGTGATTATGCCCCTAACTGCCACATCTAGATTCACTGTTCAGAAGTAGGCACAGGCCCAGTATGGAACACAATCAACTCATTCACCACTTGCAGCAAGAAGATAAATGCTAAGAAGGGAGGAAAAGGGGGAAGTGTGCAAAAACAGATTGCACTTTCAAAGGCTGGAAATTTCCTAATGAATTAAACTCTTATTGGCTGTTTTTATAAATAAATGGTTGCATTATAAAAGAATACAGTTTATTTTAGCATAAAATGAACTTTAGTCTTATGGTTTACAATTATTTCAAAATATATACTTTATTGAAAATAAATTAATAAGTGTTTGGTTAAATATTTCTGATTATTTGAAAGTAACTTGTTTTTATAGTTACATCTATTAGTAAAATATGGTATGTGAAATGTTACAGTTCCATGCAATAATTAATAAAACATCAATAAAAGGATTGAATTTTCATGAAGTCATTTCTGTTTCCAAATTTCTTTGGAAAATAAAACATTTTAATAAATTCCTGTCTAAATTAACCTGTACATAATTTTATTTTTAAGTAGAAAGCATTATTATATAGTTGATTTAAAATTATGTAATATGACAGCACACTCATCACAGCCCATATTCCAGTGCTGGATCTTTAAATTCCTCTGTAATGTGATAGGATTAGTCTCCTCTCTGGACAGAGGTCACTCAAAAAGTCACCTACTGGGGTTTCCTGGGGCAATATGTCATAGGCTGAAGATATAATGATGAAAAAATGATGCCTCCCTATAATGTAACCTAATACTCAATATAACAAGTGTGAAAATAGAGATTTGAACAGAGTACAGCAAAAGACATTCAGGCTGGGAGTTCAGCAAAGTCTTCCCTATGGCAGATAACTACCAACTGAATCTTGAAAGTAGGAACTTTCCAGATTGAGAAAAGGGGGAAGGACCAGCATGAACACAGTTACCCAGTGTGTGTCTCTGTGCATGAGTTAAACAGACTTCCAAGATATAGCAGCAGTGGAAAGCTAGGAATCTCCAGTTCATCCTCTTTTTCGTCTTCATGAAATACTGTGCAGGAACAGACAGACAGACAGACAGACAGACACACACACACACACACACACACACACACACACATTTTAACAGCCCCAAAAGCTTAATATTATATAGCAATCTGCCAGGTACTTGAAAAAAGTTGTTAAGAAATTTCCACCTCCACTCTAACCTATTTCCACAGTGGCTCTCCTCATATTCTTGCTGAGGAGAATAAGACCACCGACTCAGAAGTTAGAAATGGAGGCTTTATGGTTTATTTTTTTAAAACTGCACAGACAACACAGGGTGAACCTTGATGTTAACTGTGGGCTCCGGGTGGCAATGTGTCCACGTGGGTTCATCACTGGTAACAAATGTGCCACTCTGACCCCGAGGCTGGCAGTAGGGGGGCTGTGCATGTGTGGGTTCAGGGTATATAGGAAGTCTGGGTACTTGCCACTCACCTTTCTGTGAACCTAAAGCTGTTCTCAAAAGTAAAGTACTATTTTAAAAATCTTCATGCCAGGAAGGATGGAGGGGATGTTTGCTAGTTAGAGGCTGGGGATCTCACACCCCATCTTCTTACTGTAGCTAATGGATAGGTTTTCCTTTATGCAAAACCACAACCTAAAGTTCTCTGAATCACTCATGAAGGAGGGAGGAAACATCTTAAATCCAGCAGAGAACAGGAAAGTCAATCTTGAAATCATGAGTTGGCAAATTTGAAAGCCTATTGAAAGGGCCACGGTGTTCAATGCAATGACAAGATTCTTTATTAAGAAGGCTTTAGCTTTTTTTCTCTGTCCACTCAGTGTTCTTTTATGTGGAGGGGCTGATTTTCACCTTACATCACAGACACAGGACTTTCACCAGTGTCACCCCTTCCTAACTCACCCACAAGCATGGGACACAGAGCTCTTCAGTGGCTGAAGTTATTTCACCATCCCTGGCCTCCAGTATCCCCATTCAGACTTTTATTTTTGTCTATTATGGGGGGTATCATGGTTGTATTAGTATTTACTAGAGAAACAGATATAACACAGGGTATATAAATGTATACACAAGATTGGTTCACAACGGCCACCCACAGAGTTGGATGAGGAAGAGTGTGGAGGGTCTGTCTGCACAGTGGAGACCAAAGGATTTAGTCAAAGGTCTGGAGCTCATTACAGTGTCCTGTGGGAGTCCATATCAGGAGGCTGATGGGTGTGCAATGCAAGGCTGAAGGGTCGACACTGGAAGGAAGGTTGAGGTATCCCAGCCCCAAAGAGTCTGCGCTGCAAGGCAGGAGATTATGTCCAAGGCAATGACTGGAGCTCTTCCAAAGGAACAGAAGCACTCCTCATTTCCCATAGGGTAAATCTCCCAAGCCCTATGGCATGGAATTGCTGAGCCAATTTAGCTAAACTTCTCTTAACCAAAGTTCTCAAGTTGACACAATCACTCACCCATCACAATGACAAGAAAATGTGGTTATACAGAAGGTAAGCAAATGATAGGAAAAATAAACCACCAAAGGAGGCAAAAATTATAAACAAATACTTCACCAAATACAAACAGAATTACTTTTCTAGTTCCACCGACTGGGTGGCTTAAATAATAGAAAGATAATGCTTTTTAGTTCTGGAAGCCAGATGCCTCTAGATCAAACACTGGTTCCTTCTTAGGGCTGTGAGGGCAAATCTGTTGTTCCTTCCTCGTAGCTCTAACCTCTGGGGTTCCTTAGCTTGTAAGAGCCTTGCCTTCACTTTCACAAAGGAGTCTCCCTGTGTGTGTGCAAATTTCCTATTTTTTATATGGATCCGAGTTAGATTAGTGCATTCTTTAATAACCTCATCTTGAGTATCTGCAAAGACCCTATTTATTAATAAGGTCACATTCATAGGCAATGGGAGTAAGAAATTCATTTTTTCAGAGACACAATTCAACCCATAAAAGAGAGAAAATAAGCATGTGAAAAGGTGTTCAACATCACTAATCCTTAGGGAAGTTCAAATTAAAACTACAATTTATCAAGAAATATGTGGGCAAGGAAAAAACACCAACCTGATGTTGGGAAGAGATGGCAAGGACACAGAATAACTGAACAGCCACATGCAACTGGCAGGAATGCAGAATGGGACAGCCGGTTTGGGAAACAGTAGGACAGTTTCTCATAAAGCTACGCATGCACACATATCCTATCCCCAAACCACCTCTAGGTGTTCATTGAAGGGAAATGAAAACTTTGGTTCATACCAAAAACTGTACAGGAATATTTATAGAACTTTGTGCATAATCATCTAGGAGACAACATAGATGTCCTTCAGCAGGTAAAAGGATAAGCATCTATCCATGTAGGGACAAGTCAAAGACCTATGATTCTCCCCAAAACATTCAGGAAATGTAAACATGTTCTGGTAAGTGAAAGAAGCCAAACCCAAAAGGCTACATATTGTATGATTTCATTTATATGAATTTCTGGAAAAGGCAAAACTAAACAGAAAATATATGAATGATTGGAAGTGGGTGCAGAAGATATGGGAGCAATTAACTACAAAGAAAAGCAAGAGAAGAGAATTTTGTGGATGCTGGGAATATTATGTCATATACCGATGTCAGATATACAACTCCGAATTTGACAAAACCATTAGAACACCACAGAGTGCATTATATTTATATAAATTATAAAAATAATATCCTAGGAAGAGGATGGACCCAAGAAAGGATGCAGAGTGTGACAAATGGGTACAACTCTATACAAATTAATCACATAATCACACTGACAGGATTAGTAAGAAAAAGGATGACCCAAGTGATTTGGCAAACAGTATTCACACTGGTCACTTTAAAACTAAGGGCCCAAAGAATTCTAACACTGTACGTACCCTGGTTGGTAATTTTATTTCTTTAACAAGAGTATGTGTTGACAATTCTAAGCTACTTTTTAGGTATACTAGGGTTGAATCAAGGAAATATTTTGTAGATAATGGAGCCTACTTTTTCACTATCAGAGAAAGAAATTACAAGTAAAGAAAAAATGTAGACTAAAATGGACCTTCTGGTGCTGAATGAGTGCCCCAGGTTTTAGTATCAATTCATAGATACAGAAATAAAAACAGGTGCACATTTGTATCCAAAGGTGATGTAGGTGTGTTCACCCTTAAAAAGCTCCCATTGGGCCAAAGGAAAACAATCTGAGCAACAAAATAATGACATTGTTGGAATTTTCCCACTCTTTCTAACATTGTAGTAAAATAAACACAGCATATAATTCATCATCTCAACAATTTTTAAGCATATTGCTCAATGGTATTAGATGCATTAGTAATATGTCACCATTGCCACTATCCATCTATAATTCACTTCCTCCTGTGAAACTGAAGTACTTACTCTGCTCATTAAGCCACCCCCCCCATACAAGATGCTGGCAACCACCTTTGCATTCTTTGCTTCTCTGATTTGACTACTCTGAGTATGTCATATAAGTAGAATCATTCAGACCTTGATGTTTTTGAAGAGCACTGATGTGTGATCAGGGTACCCAAGATGGCAGCCTCAGGCCTTCCTCTTGCTAGTGAGTCAGCATGTTATGTAGCCCGCCCATGCACAGTGAACAGGTAAACAAGTAGTCTTAGGTAACTTTTCAGCAACTTGATGGCTTTGTGTGATACCATTTATAATGTATGAGGGCGTGGGATTTCTTCAGTCTTACTCACCCTGCCGCTGACACAGTAAAGGCCCGTTAGACTGAATCTTGATTGAACCTTCCCAGCCTGGACTAGTGACAAAACAACTGCCCGGGGATTTTGTAGAACATCCCTCAATTTGGGATTATCTCATGTTTTCTCATGATTAGATTAGAAGGTGGAGTAAGGGGTTACTCTGCTAACTGGAGGTAAAATATCTAGCTCTAGACACATAAAGTTGATCTCTATACTCCTCACAGTGGTCTCAAATAAAACTACCATGCAGTTTCTAGTTTTGCAAGTAAGAATTTAGAAGTCACCACTCTATCCTGAAAAATAAAAAGCCAAACAGACTACATAAAATATCAGCAACTCTTCCTGGATCAGAAGACAGGAGAGGACACAGGAAAGGCATCATCTCCCAGATAGGAGAATACTACAGACAGCCATGGCTTACTGCAGTTGACGGGAACCCCAAAGGAATCGTGGGAGGTAGGAAAACCTGAAGTGTAATTGACAAGTTCCTGGAGTCTCACCTGCACAAGTCTGAGCATTACAAACTCTAGGGGACC